GTAGTTTTGAAGTAGAGAGAAAGAAAGATGATAAGGACTCCAAAAAATATTTAGAACAGTTAGTTCCATTGTGTTATTCTTATCTATTTAATGTAAAAATGTTCACTAATCTGGAACAGTTGATGCAAGTGGGTTTGTCAACTCTGGAAACCTTTTGCAGTGTCCATATGGCTTATGTTAATTTGGATATAGTATTCCACCAATGGCCAGTGTTTCTAAGGAGAGTATCATCTTTAACTCCCAACATCAATATGTCAATGGAAGCTAGTGAAAATAAGTATTTAAGAGTTCATACAATTTTCCTATGACCCTGTTGACAGATGGTTTGCTTTTTGACCTTGAATATGTTTTGTAACAAGTAGATATATATAAATATTTATAAATAATACAGGTCTGTATTGATTTTTACCTATATCCTGGTTTCACTAGACCAATTTCAATTTATTGATACTTCGATGAATCAATAACTCAAAGCATATAACATGGTCTAGCTTTGATGTTCTGAAATCATAGACCATGACCTCTATATTCAAATAACAAGTTTTAAATATCTACTCATGTATCTTGTATATTTTGTCTATTACAAAATGGTTTCCTGATATATTTGATACAAAATCAGAGTGACCTTTTACAAAATGTCCTGAAGATCGGATCCACCTTTTTGAACAAAACTCAGTCAGAAATTGTAGTCTAACGTTGTAACATCTATGGAAACTGTTTTGTAAAAGCAGGGCTGGATTCCAGACAATATGTGAATCAGGTTTATAAATAGCAATACTAATCCATTTCAACTCTCAAGGGATGTCTCAGACATCTGATAATTGTTTTAGTAATCAAATATTAGTAGTAATAACAAAATAGCTGTGACATGAGTAACAGTAATTATATTGGTGTATGATTTACAGCTGATATACTCCAAATTGTACTCTTAGACATCTACACTTGTTAATGATTTCCAGAATGAATATTGGTAAAATCATTAAAACAACATCATTGAATACACCTTTGAACATCAAGGCAAAACAGCAAAATCAACACCTGTGAGCATTAAACACTGGGGCAAAACATGGGATGCTGGAGCATCAAAGAATCAGAGAACATCACAGTGCTCCTAAAAAGAGCCAAACAACAGTGAGGTGTCAAAAAATGAAGTCATAAGGCACAATTTGAAAAAAAAAAATCAAAAAAGGAAATGGAGAAATACTTGGCTAGTAATATCAATGACAGTGGACAATAATACACACAGTTTTTAATTGAGATACTATACAATTATAGATGAAGATCTTGTTTGTTGAGAAAGCAATCAGACACATTTGAAGTTATATTTCTTCATTATAGTGATATTATTGTAATGAAATGAAATGGAGTTTTTCTTCCACTATTGTTATGATAAGGGACAGGTGATAGCTAGAGGTTGAGTCAGTACAAGTCAATAATTAATAATATAAGTCTTTACCTATTCACTGATTCTATTGATTCTCAATACTGGACTATAACAAGTAGGACAAAATGTCCGATAAATAGTTTAAAGGGATAGAAAAGAGGTTTTCCAGGTTACTTGAAGCCTTTATTATCACCATTTTGAATTTCACTCTGAGTTATGTTGTTCCTGTCATTCCACAAAAAACCTGATCAGATTATGATGTCATTATTTTTGGTGCAAAAAGAAGTAAGACAGCATCTTGCCAAAATTTTGAGGAAATGAGTTGATTCAATCAGTTGCCAGTTGGCCAGTCAGACCCGTAGCTAGAGGGAGGGCAGGGGAGGCCAGGGCCCCACTAAGAAAATTAAGAAAATGACTTGTTGAGTCGCTATAGTTGAGCCTCCCTTTAAAAAATTTAGCCCCCACGGCCCCAATGAGACCCTGGGCTAGCTACAGGCCTGTGGCCAGGTTGTGTTCATAGGCACAGAAAGAAGCAGCTGTATGTTGGACAAACACTGTTATTTTTTTTGGTTTGCTTATGGAAGTTCGTTCTCTGGTACCAATGCTTTCAATGTTCATGTCACTTTTAAAGTTAAAATTTGAAGAATTGTTATATCTGTAATATCCAATATCTGGTGACCAGGTTATCATAACAGTTACACATGGTAAGACTTGTAGACCAGTAGAACACTCTAGTTGATGAAGGTTAGAAAATGCTAGCTAAGGATCATATGATAAATATTTATAAATATTGATATAGAAATACCAACACTGTATTCCTATCATAATAAACATATCTTTTATCAATTAAAAACATTTCTTAGTGTTTATGACTCAATACACAAAAGTGTATGTCGACATGTATTGTTGTCAGCCTTGTCCATCAAAGAAAACATAGATGTTCCGGTTTTGACCCAACTTTGATGAAACTTGACATAATATGTATATAAAAGTCAAAGTTCGCCATGAATTTGATTGAGGTGATTACAATTTGAAATTTATTTTATTGATTGATATTTGATTAATTTGTAGATTGAGCTTTAGTGGATTAAAATTTCAAATGTATGTTAAATAAAAGAATCATATATATGATTTGAAAATTTATCAATAGATACAGATCAATCATTACAGTCAACTGTTGCTGCAATTTTTATTGATTGAGTTCTAGATATATAATATATGATATTATTCATAGAGATATTATTGAAATGATCACAATTCATTTCTTCACCTCTACTGACACTTCTTGGGTAAATAACGAAATGTATCAGTTATCAGGAGGCAATAATCTCCTGACTTATCAACATGTCTGACATTTCAATAGAAAAGATCAATGATGGCCAACAGATGTTAAGATTATAGCCTAGCTTCAAGATAATGTGTCCATTGGTAATAAATATAAAACAAAGAAAAGAGGTTGAAAGTTCCAACTATTTGTGTTAAGAACCATCAACATTTGATGAACAAATGAATTTTCTCTTCCAACATTTTATGTATATCGTGCAATGAAAATGTTTGTAGCATGTGTTAGTAAGCATGTGTTCTGCATTATTATGATTAGTTAACAATTGTACCTTGGTATAATTTTTACATTGCTAAAAAATCAGACATAAAGGCAAGAGAAAATATGCTCAATCTTTGGCTAAGGTTCATCCTTCTCAGTTATTTCGTAAATGTTGTACCTAGCATTGCAGAATAAGGATGCTATCTTTATGAATCAGACTAATTCATTTGTCTTTGACATTCATTTCATGCTTGAATAATCCAGGAGGTCTCTTTGATTTTGCCAGACTTTTGGTTTGTGCTAAAGATTTTTAAGTTTAAGATTAATGTTTCTACTATGTGATGCTCAAATTGGGGTATTGATATCATGGCAGATATATGAAAGCAATCCTTCAAGCAAGACTACTAAAGACTCTCAACTTTGTATATGTCTTTTGAAGATAGCTTGCCAGGCAAGGTAATATACGCCAACTGGCAGCATTGATTTTGAATAAAAATATTTAGCAGTACAGTAACAATCACCAGTATGAAATATTCAACCTTCAGTCATACACTCCTTTTGAACTCTTTAGGGCCATACTGAATAATATTGAGTATGAGTTATTGCCCTTGTTCTTGAAAACATATTCAATTTTTAGCTCGTGAAAATTCTAGAAGGCAAATATTCAATTATCAGCGCGGGACTGAATAATAAAACCAAGTTTTGTCAAAATCCAGCAAGAATCATGCCTTTTAGTGTTTAAGAGCTAAATTTGAAAGCGTTTTCAAGCACAAGAGCCATAACTCATACTAAATATTTTTCAATTCTTCTGATTTTCAATAGGGTTCATCCTTGGGTGATTACGAACATTCACACGAAGTTTCATCAAAATCCGTCAAGAATTGTGTCTTATAGAATGATTACGAGCTAAAAATTTAACGCTTTTTCAAGAGCAAGGGCAATAATTCATACTAAATATTTTTCGATTTTTCTGATTTCCAATAGGGTTTATCCTTGGGTGACAACAAACACTCATGCCAAGTTTCGTCAAAATCCGTCAAGAATTGTCCCTTCTAGAGTGTTTACAAGCTAAAATTTGGACGCATTCTCAAGAACAAGGGCAATAACTCATACTAGATATTTTTCAATTCTTCTGATTTTCAATAGGGATCATACTTGGGTGATTACGAACACTCACACCAAGTTTTGTCAAAATCCTTCAAGAATTGTACCTTCTTGTGTGTTTACGAGCTAAAAATTGAACGCATTTTCAAAAACACGGGCAATAACTCATACTAAATATTTTTCGATTTTTCAGTTTTTTCATCCTTGGGTGATTATGAACACTCATACCAAGTTTTGTCAAAATCCGTCAAGAAATGTGTCTTGTAGAGTGTTTACAATTAATTGTGGACGGACCGACGGATGGCAAAAATCATTAGAATTGTACTTTCACCTTAGTTATTGTTAACAGTTGTTTTCATGTTAGAAGTAAATAGGTGGAAGTTTACCTAAGATTGTATAGAACAAGACAATAGCAGTATAACAATGTAAATATATATATCACCAGATGGTACTGTAAAATATAGATTTTTACTTATATTCAAGTAATGTTGTTAACAAGTCGTGTAACTAAATAAAGGGTGATTTGGGTCTTTGTTAAATCTCTAGCTCCAGGCTGAGAAAATGATCATGAGCATCATGATACCTCAATCCCTCGTACCTAATCTCGGTTGGTGGTAATAGCCTACTAAATTGAACACCAAAAGGGGGACCAGCGTAGTTTCTTAAAGAATTTGAATGAACAGGGATGTTCCTATCATCAATTTTAATTTTCTTGCTAGGTCAACTGAAACAATTTCAGAACTGAATGTTTGGGTCTCAGTTCTGATTGTGGAAGAGGTTAAAGGTATGAGGGCATGAAAGATTGGGTGAGCTGAGGACCAATTGATAGGGAAAACCCTTGAAAACCGAAATAGTTAGTGTTGCAAGAATTTTTTTTTTCTTTCTTTTCTGTTTGCTAGTGTTTGATGGTTAATTCATAATAAAAGACTTATCCCAAGTAATGAACAATCTTTTTTGATATATTTTCAGACACATTTTAAACTTTCTACGTACATCCCATGTATTACTACCAACTGGTTTTAGAGACCTGGAGATACTACGTGAAGAAGCTAGATTTTATGGCTTAGATGAAATGGTTAAAGAGCTCAACATCATGCTGGAAAAAAGATTTCGTAAACGTCGAGGTCGTGGCTTGAATAAAAGATTTAGCTCGAGTATGGGAGAAAATATGCATCAGATCCAAGAAGATGATGACTTGGATTTTTTCGAAGATAGTTATCTGGATTAAGTTGCTAAGACGACAGATGCAGTGGGGTAAATAACTTACAAAAAAATTATTGGTTTAAAAAATGACCAATTAAAAAAATGGAAAGTCTGTCAAGAAGGCAAATATATCCATAATATAATATCCAAGTCATCGGTGATGGATAATATACCAAGTATTCTCCAGCACCTTAGGGGCATTAAGCTTGACCTGATCCCTACAGACTGCTTGCGCTGGCCAAGAGGCAATACAGTCACTAAAGTCTTTCAGTTTTTTTCGATACAATATTATATTGAAGGACCTTAATGTGATTATCTTATGGAAATGATGTTTGAAGTTAAAAGAGTGCCTAAATATTAAAAATGTTGATTTTTTTAATCAGATCTGTGCCAGTTTTCAATAGAAGTTAGTTTATCCAGTAGATAACTCAACCATTTGGAAACCATTCCAACATTTTTCGCACAAATTCAACTTAATGAATTTATAGTTTCGTAAAACCAAAGTTTTAGACCTAGTCTCCAAGGGCTAGAAGTCATTCCAGAAATGTAGAAAAATTCGAAATAAATTTGCCTGCGATGTTCATTGGATGGAACTTTCCACATAAAAAACTACATTCCAGATGCGAGTGAAAAAACAGACAAGTGTGTGATTCTGTAAGTTTTCTTGCCGTACGGAAGCTAACATTGGATAAATTCAATGAAATTTGTTATTTTTGCCATCGAGCTACTTTTCTTGGAGAAAATGTTTGTCTTGATGACATTGTTAAACTCTTGTTGTTTTGATATTGTATTATGCAAATTTGAAGTGACCTGTAAGAATCCTCAGCGATCCTTGATGGTATTTCAGACTTTATTTTACAATACTGTTTTATATGAAATAGCGCACTTGTTATTAATTCATCATAGTATCTTTAATTCACATAATAATTGTTTTGACACACTGACTATTCTATTTACGTATGTTCATGATGTATTTATTGAAATATTTCTGATTGTCATATTAATGTTTTAATAATCAGATAATGGAACTATGATGTTCAAATATTGATAAGTTGATTGAATATTCTGATGTTCACATAATGATATTTATATTGCATGAACTGGTGCTCTCATAATTAAATGTTTATATTAGGATTTGATTTACAAAAAATAGCCATTTTGATTGTAATAAATTTGTTTGATTTTGATGATGATCATTTGATTCTATGATCGACTATAACGATAATGATCAGTTTTATTTCATCATTTTAATTTGATGATCAGACAATGACAATATTAATAATAGATTATGATTACATATTATGTTCTGACGTAATAATCTGATAACATGATTCAATTTCTTCATATTTTCACACGTTTACTTTTTTAAATTAAAATTTAATTCATATTTATTTATATCCATACACAGTTAGGAATTATTGCTTTTAGATGTGAATTTCAGTATTTTTATTAAGTGTTCAATATGAAGGTTTTTGATAAAGCCACAAAGTAGTAATAGTAGTTATATTTTTATGTAAGAATTGTGAAGTTTTAGATATTCAAGTCGAATATTTCAATTTTATGCGTCATAATTCAATTTAAGTAAGCAATCAATGCAGCACCAGTTTTATAACTGAAATATTTTAATGAAAGACAGCCATGATTAATATTGAATTTTGTGAAGTCCTATTACTTTGGATTATGAATTATGAATTAACCCAAAACAAATTTGTGATAATACCAACATGGTGTATAATATTAGACAATTTATATAATAGGTTGAACAACTGCATGCCTCATTTTGAATCAGTTTATGTCATTTTAATAACCTGAATACTAATTAAATAAGCCTGAAGGCGAAGTTAAAATTAGTTATAAGAATCTGGTGGTGTATATTTATCTTATTGCCCCTGATAGGTGTGCGAGATTAAAGGGACACAACTCTATATAGAGAAGTGATAATAAATTGTTGATATTGTATTTAGTATAAGGTGATTGAAATGCTTTTGTTTATTGTTTATTGGCCATGTAGGTTAATTTTCTATGTGGACGATGGCCTAAGCTGAAAATCTTCCCTTCCCCATGCAGCTGATGTAATATCCTGTTAATCTCAACTGTTCTATTTAATACATCCCTTGATGTAGGCATATATAAAGTTCCTTTATGATAATAAGGGATTATACCTTTCATTGAAGCATGCTTATGTAAGGGAGAAAACTCCATTATTTACAGATTGTTTTGTCAACTGCACAAACTTGAATATATGCACTTGAATTCCATCCTTACATACAGTTTTTTATAATCTAAAATGAGTAATTTATATAAATGAAATGAATTTTTCGCAAATATTAAATGAAAAATGGTCATATTTAACCCTTTTGATTGTCATAATTGTTTTATGAATTTTGTCCTTCAAACATTAGTCGAGCAGGTCTTGATAAAAAATTGTTTTAATTGAATCTCAAATGGTGCAGGCTTGATTTTTTGGTGATTTTTTTTTAAATGATATATTTTTGGAATTTCTTTGATAATATTAGTTATAGTATATAGTCTTCCACTTTCATTAATTCACTTGTATGTCCTTAAGATACACATATTTATCTATATTATGTTTTAGTCATAGCATCATCTAAAATTTCCATAGTCCAAAATTTTTTTTAGGCATAAATTAAGATTTGATGCCAATTTTTCATTCAACATTGGCCAAGGGCAATAATCTAAGATGAATGATACATAGAGTCATATCAACTGTATATTTTTTACAAAGATGACATCTTGATATTCCAGAAGATCCACAGGAATACAACAGACTACTGTTACACTGTATTACACGAACATGTCTATATATAACTTATTCCAATATTTAAGTACTACATGTTTCGATTTAACATTTCTGTACCAGGCTATACTGTATAGTCTATACATACAATGTTAACTGTTTTATTAAATCAATATTACTTTTTATAATCCAGCCTGTTGGAAATGAAAATTTACCAAATATTAAGTGTTAGTATGTGGAAAAAAATTCATATGCCAGACATTTAAGAATGCAACTATCCTTAATGAAAACAAGATCTCTTTCATATTTCGTTTGAAAACATAATGAAATGCTTTCCATTCTTTAATATTGTTAAAGAATGATGTACATTTTTGTATCTTTCTAAATTTTTAAATCAGGTTTTTACTTTCTTGGTACAAAACATATATATTGGTGTATGCCATGTCAGGTTCTTTAATTTTGATTATGTTGCCTGTTGCTTTTGATGTTTCCAAAATGTTAATTTTTTTAAAAAAAAAATCACAAAATAATAAAACCAAACATAAATATTTTGTATGGAATAATGCTTTAAAAGATTAAAGTGTTTATATAAGCACATTGTAGTTGATTCTTCAATGAAGGTGAAATAATATTGCTTTGAATTTGTTGCTTTATATGAACCACACTTTGATAACAGTTACATAAATTTTGTTAGATTTTTCCATGATTATGTAATGACTTTTAAATACTAAAAATAAAAAAAAAACTTTCTTTCTTATTAATGTGTCATTTTTATACGCCCACAGGTAAGATGGGCGTATATTGTAATCACCCTGTCGGTCCGTCCGTCCGTTCACATTTGGCTTGTGCTCACTCTACAGGCTACAGTTCTTTATGGATTCTTTTGATTTTTATTTTGTATGTCAATGTTGTTATGAAGATGATCCCTATTGATTTTCGTGATGATCGGATAATTTTTCACCGAAATATCGTGTCTGACTTGACGTTTTTCTCTATTAGCTATATTGTGCAACTCGTGCTCACTCTACAGGCTACAATTTTTTACAGATTCTTTTGATTTTTATTTTGTGTGTCAATGTCATTATGAAGATGATCCCTATTGATTTTCGTGATGATCGGATAATTTTTCACCGAAATATCGTGTCTGACTTGACGTTTTTCTCTATTAGCTATATTGTGCAACTCGTGCTCACTCTACAGGCTACAATTTTTTACAGATTCTTTTGATTTTTATACGCCCAGACGTAAGATGGGCGTATATTGTAATCACCCCGTCGGTCCGTCGGTCCGTCCGTTCACATTTGGCTCGTGCTCACTCTACAGGCTACAGTTCTTTATGGATTCTTTTGATTTTTATTTTGTGTGTCAATGTCATTATGAAGATTATCCCTATTGATTTTCGTGATGATCGGATAATTTTTCACCGAAATATCTGTCTGACTTGACGTTTCACTCTATTAGCTATATTGTGCAACTCGTGCTCACTCTACAGGCTACAATTCTTTACAGATTCTTTTGATTTTTATTTTGTGTGTCAATGTCATTATGAAGATGATCCCTATTGATTTTCGTGATGATTGGATAATTTTTCACCGAAATATCGTGTCTGACCTGACGTTTTACTCTATTAGCTATATTGTGCAACTCGTGCTCACTCTACAGGCTACAATTGTTTACAGATTCTTTTGATTTTTATTTTGTATGTCAATGTCATTATGAAGATGATCCCTATCGATTTTCGCGATGATCAGATAATTTTTCACCGAAATATCGTGTCTGACTTGACGTTTTTCTCTATTAGCTATATTGTGCAACTCGTGCTCACTCTACAGGCTACAATTTTTTTACAGATTCTTTTGATTTTTATTTTGTGTGTCAATGTCATTATGAAGATGATCCCTATTGATTTTCGTGATGATCGGATAATTTTTCACCGAAATATCGTGTCTGACTTGACGTTTTTCTCTATTAGCTATATTGTGCAACTCGTGCTCACTCTACAGGCTACAATTTTTTACAGATTCTTTTGATTTTTATTGTGTGTGTCAATGTCATTATGAAGATGATCCCTATTGATTTTCGTGATGATCGGATAATTTTTCACCGAAATATCGTGTCTGACTTGACGTTTTTCTCTATTAGCTATATTGTGCAACCCTGTAGTCACTAACGACTGTTTAATCATTTCTGACAGCTGCCAGTGGGCGTATGTTACCTTGCCTAGCAAGCTATCTTTCATACATTCTTCAAACCAGTGCAGAATATCC